AAGGAGGCCTCCGGGATCCGCCGCCTCGGAGGGGCCGTAGTGGCGCAATCCGGTCGAGGGTCTCCGATGCTGCCAAATGCCAAGCGGCAGCCAGAGTCTCTACCGGACTGTGGGCGAGAGTATCAGGAATAACCCCAAGCTCCGTCTGGAACCTCAAAGGGTCCATAAAAGTGGTCTCTAGGGCAGTGGTCACCAACCAGTGGTCCGTAGATCACTTCTGGTCCGTGAGAAAATTTTGGTGGTGTGCAGAAAAATTATTTGCATTTTTATATTGCACTAAATATTATTTATCTTTTTAAAAATCCGTACTAATGGTCCGCGGGATTTAAAATTATGAATGTAGTGGTCCCTGAGGTCTGAAAGATTGACAACCCCTCTTCTAGGAGACACCATAGAGGTGGAAGTACAAGGTGGCAATTCTTAATTCCCAATAAGTCTGGATATTTAAGAATTGATTTAAAGAGACTCATTTTCTCCATAGAAAGGACTTCTTTGTTGGAAGCTGTGAGAGAGAATCTTGGAGAGGACGGTTTCTATTTATTTCTCTTCATGGAACACACAGTCCATACTGTCTTGAACTGCATAGCCTATTAACACCACTTTTCCCAGCTTACATGGGGCTGCACAGGAAAAGAAAAACAACAACAGTGATACTCCTCCTTTCCCCTCATTTGGTTCTAATCCCAGTTTCATTCTTTTAAGAGAATATGCTTGAACAATCTGGATGTCTGGGTGGTTTCACCAACTTTGATTGTGATTATGTGACATTAAATCAGTGTCAACTGTTAGTGGGCACATAGGTTTTCTCCATGACAATCGGACCCTCAAAAAGTCCTTCAGACCTTCCAATGTTAGACTTTCCAGACCAGTGGTGGGTTATGGATCCCATCACAACCAGTACGCTGCGATGGGGCCGCACATCCACCATGTGCACACGTGCGCACCTGTGATACATGTACATGTGGAAATGGCCCGGTTGGGTCAAATACAGGTAAGGAGGGTGGGCAGGCGGGTGGGTCCTCCAGAGCACCGTACCGCAATGGTACCTGGTACCCCCCAGCAGGCATCAGTATGCACATACCAGGGTGTACCGGTCATAACCCACCACTGTTCCAGACGTTTCCACTTCCATGAGTTCATCCACCTTGCTGCTGGTCCTCCTCCCCCTCTCTTTCCTTCCACCTTTCCAAGCAATAAAGCCTTATCCAGGGAGCTAGGTCTTTGCATAATATGCTAAAGTCTGATAATCCTGAAATTAATAGGTTTTATTTATTTTCATGAAATACAAATCCAGCATAGAATTGGCTCCCCAGAATTATATAGCCATGAATAGGCTCTTTAAAAAGGGGTAATGATTTGTTGTAGCTGCCCTGGGCTTACCAAATGCAACAATATTTAAAGATTATGCAAGGCTAGAGAAATTATTTCCTTAGTTTTATCTAATATTTTCTCTATGTCTTTATACCTTCCCTCAAATGCAGGAACCGGTGTTAGAGAAGATGTCTACCTGATTTGGAAGGAACTAGAGGAAGCCAAGAATATCCTAACCCAGATAGAGAAAATTCTCATAGAATTTGAGAAATCTGAAATAGTGGCAGGTATTTTATGAATGCATAATTGCAAAGGACTTGATTTATGAACAGTTTGATGGAAAGTATTTTCAATACGTGCCCATCCATTAGCGATCAATCTACAAATTGTAAATCTGCAGAAACAGTCTAAATACTAGAAAAAAACTCTCTATGACTTGGCTGGTTTTACTTGCAATCTACTTCTGAATATGAGAACAAATAGCAGAGCTAAATTGGGGAAGTTAAGAAGATATACTGTAGTTCCTCGGCATGCATACATATATATTCATTTACTGATTCAATAACTACTTATTTGTTGAAATTATGCTTTTTCACTTTCACTTGTTCTTTTGCTACAGCTTGCCTCAGTAGATCTGGGTTCAACATAAGATCTCTCATTTGTGGGAAGAATTTGTTACAAAAAGTTACCCTAGCAGACTTATTTCCTTTGCTAAAGGACATTGTTGGTTAAGGAAGGAATGAACTGGACTGCGTTCAACGTTATTGGACTTTCTTCAGCTCAGCCAAAACACCTGCTCTGTGTAGGGGGAAGAACCTTTCTCAGGGTATTCTGCCAAATTTCCCCCCAAAGCAAAGGTTTCTGTAGTGGTAGCCAATCCCCTCAGTTCCCTTTAAGTCTGGGTGAAGCTGTCACCTGCAACCATGTGGCTTCTTCCCAGCCTTCCAGAATCTTCAGTGGAGCTCATTCCTTTGGGTCTTTGCTTTCTATCTTCTAGAGAAGACCATTCTTCTCTCCCCTAAAGACACTTTGCCCTGCACACTTCACTCTCCAATTTCTCTCCAGCTTCTCTATTCACAACAGGTGGCATACTTTTAGTCCCCTATTCCCATTTCCTGAAGCTACTGTAGAAATTAGTGTTCTCCCAGAGACCCCAACACTGATATACCTTGCTGCATCAATGGAACTGCTTACTCAAAATCTCCCCACAGCAGCTCTGAATAGCAGTCAGCTCAACCCATCAGGCTCACAACACAGCTGTCCATGAAGGACACAAGTGAGCTGCTTTCTCTTCTTATCTCATTCCAGTGTCCAGTAGAGCAGCAGTCCTACCCAGTCACAAAATCTCTACAGCGTGTCATAATCCCAGGAGAAGGCAGTTGCAAAATATTGCAAGCTGTTACCTAAGAAAATTACATAGACCTGCAAAAGACTATAGTGACTAAGAATTGACTCAGATGAGAGGAGACTTACTGATAAAGTAGTAATATTTCTAAGGAAAGAAGAATGTATTGGTTCCAGCACAAAACCGCGTTCGACTAAAGCGCGTTCGACGAAACCGCGTAGCTGATGTCATCACAGGGCAACAACAGCGCGGAGACAGAAGCACGCTNTATTAACACTTCATGTGATCTTGATTCTATCCCTCTGTTGATGCAGCCTAGAACTGTGTTGGGTTTTTTAGAAGCTGCTGCACACTGTTGGCTCATATTTAAATGATTGTCCACTAGGATTCCAAGATCCCTCTCACAGTTACTACAGTTTTCATTTTTAATGCATATTAATTACACATCCTTATATTTAAAAATGTAGTACAGGTGGTAGGTGTTGGTGGTGGTTTGTTCTCTGAGCTTGTTGTTCAGTTTCCGAACTTTTCGTCACCAGGCTAGGTAACATCACTCATTCAATCCAACTGACCACATAAGACCTACAAAAGCAGGAGAGAACTGAAACAAGAAACTTCAACCAAAGTTCCACTGATGATGTTACCTACCCTGATGACAAAACATTTGGAAACTGAACAACAAGCTCGGAGAACAAACCACCACCAATATCCTTAGATTTGTGCTGTCCAAGTGTTTCAAAGACAACCTTTATACTGAGTGTATCCCCTTGTCTTCCCCTCTCTTTAAAAACCCAGTTCCTAGTTTACTGCCATCGATATAAATTATCCTAACTGTTAATTCTTGGCCCTTACTGCATTGTTGGAGAGCGAATCCCATTAATTAAGTATGCATTGTGAGAGAAAATAGTTTATATTGTTATATTTGCCATTGAGACAATTCTGTGTTCTGTCATTGGGATGGTGATAAAAATATCTTTTTCTTCAATAGAACTCTGGGTAGATCTCAGAAGCAGTTAAGCTGTAAGCAGTAATGGTGATAAAGACAGCTAGCAGTGCTCATTTCCCACAATTGTAACAGCTGTTGACTGGTACTTATTGGACGAAATCCATACCCTTGATGACTTATTATGAAGTATAGATTTCCTGAGATAAGATTACAGAGAGGATCAAAACTTGGGAAAGTGTTAATGAGAGGAACGATGATCCAAGTCTCTAGGGAGTTTATGTGTTTAGGTGGTAAATATTAGTATTTGAGGATTTGTTTTCTATGATAGAAATGACCTGCAAATGAAATTGGCTTTGACATGTTCTAACCTTTCCTTTCTGGAAAATATATATGTCAAGATTGTTGAACTTGAGTTTAAAATAGGGAAATGTATATGATCAGGAAATTGGGAAATTTGGACAGGAAACTTTTGCACAATTCATTCAGTTTTAATAAAGAAATATATGTCTTGGGAATGTAATATTTGCTGTATGTAAGCTATGATAGCTTGTGCAATTTAGCTTTCAATTACTGTTTTCACCCTTGCTCAATATCAGATTTATCTTATTTGAAAAATGCAATTCTTTTCAGTCCTATCCAGTTCCCAAAACTATTTATAAAAACATTAATCATTGATGCATCACAGACAATCATACAGCATTAACAGCCAGAAACGCAATGATCATAGCCATTGGCAGAAAGCTATGATGATAAAATATGCACCATGACACCACTATGCAAATACTGTCCTATTTGCAACCCAATGTCAGGTGCAGATATGTGAATTGTGAGGCTCTGATATCATAGTTCGTGTTTTGTCACTTGCCTCTTCCCAGTGCAATGGCAGTGATGCTATTTAAATTGGATTTAATATTCAACAGTACTTAGGGTATGAGATCTATTAACCTATCAATCCATAAAATCTGATTTAAATCAAATATCGTGTGTAGTTGCTTTATAGCATTTTGTACAGACTGATATGTTTCTCACACACTGAAAAACACAGAAAATACTGGCTTAAAAAAACAGGAGTGGAAGTTAAACCACTTGTTATTTGAAAAGAGGAGACAGAGCTCATGAGACTGGGACTTGTGTCAACTTCTACTCATAATAGAAAACCATGCCTTATTATGTCAGAACCGGGTAGGCATTTGCAATGAATGCAATATTGCAGTCCTTTGTCTCTGCTCCTGATAATTAAGTCCACCCCACCCAAAAGGGAAGAACAATGCTTCTACAAAAGATAATTTAAACATTTTTAATAGGCATTAACATTGTTACTTGTTTGCAGCCCAAACTAATCTGTAGCCTTTTGGTTAAGACAATTAATTTTTTTTTTAAAAAAAATGTTGCTTAAGAAACCAGGCAGGAGAATTGCTCTTGAATATTGGCTTTAAGCATAATTATCCTTCTTGAAACTTGGTATTCTGCCTTCTGTGATAATTATATATTCTCCCATGGGTAGCTTTGTTTCTCTAGAAGTGCTTTGCATAAAGGAACAAGTGTGGGCAGTGATTTCTTTCTTTCTTTCATGGTTTTAAGACAAATTAAGGACCACTTCAACTTGCCTGAACAATACAATTTTTCTCTTGGGCCTTCTAAGTCCCACTCTCTGAAATGCAGGTAGCAATTAAGGAAGAGTCTTTTCTGGTTTGTATCCTGCACATGTTTCTTCTCCCCTCACTAGATTACTCAAGAGAGCACCCTTTGCGCACCCCCCCTGAAACAATATTATCTTGTTGGGCATTAGGTCTTCTCAGTGGCAACATGTTCCCCAGACAGGTGGATGGCTCTGGCTTGCTAGCCTTTCATAACCTCTAAAGTCCTGGCTATTTCTCAAGACATTTGAGATGTTGTGTTTTGCTGTTGATGTGGTTTTATAGTTGAGATGCATTGGATGCCATGGATTACTGTTCATAACTCTTGATTTGTAATCTTTATACATCACCCAGACTCAATGTTTTGAGATGGGTGGCCATAGGCATGTAACACACTCACACAAACACATTCACACACACTGATCCATACAGTGGGATCAGCTTATTTCTTTGGAATATGAGTTGCATTCTTGTGTATTGTGTAATCTCACCCCAATTTTTTCGGCGTCATATGTTGATTTCTGTGGATTTTATCCTAGCTCAGATGATATAAGACTACAGGCAAAGTGATTCTAATTGCTTTGCCTTTTTCTTTTAAACATGAGATTTTTTTAAAAAAAAACCTGGTACTTGTAACTCCTTTGGCATTCAGAATTGAAAAATGTGTTAATAGTTTGATCATTGTACTTAATTTCATTTATTGTTACTAATTAAAAAAACATAATAAATGAAATGGATGAGGTCCTTCCACTTGTTAAAAAAATATACAGTTGGTTTATGCTCATTTCAGTGTTTTTTCATTCAAATGAAGGAAATATAGGAAAGTCCCAGGAGATGGCAGTATACAATAACACATAAAAATGCACAATGAAAAATGAAAATGAAAGACTGAGAAAAGCGTTAACCTCTCAGAATTGTTCTGGGGTTTATGAAAATTATGCATGCATTATTTCTATTCAGTTATATTAATGACAGCAGGAACCCATTGCTGCCAAATCTCTGGCATATGGCCCCCTTGGAAATCTGCTGTGCTAGCAAATCAGTTCATGACGTGTTCACACCAACTGCAGCGCCACTGCAGCATCATAAAACTTGACATTATTCTGGCACTGACGAGAACAAAATGATTACTGCACCACATAAGGCTGGTGCTGATATTTAATCTGATAAAGCCAATAGTGTAGCATATTATTCGGGTATATTTAATTGAACATTGGATCTGCTTTCCAAACAATGTTCTTTTCATAGCTTACCTATTCATCATATTAGTGAAACACTCTTTTTCGAGAGAGAGAGAGAGAGAGAGAGAGAGAGAGAGAGAGAGAGAGAGAGAGAGAGAGAACATTATATAAGACTGGC